GGTGGGGGCAGCGGCTCGCTGTTGCGGCTCCCTGTGTCAGAAGACAAGACCTGGGAGCCACCCATGAACAGAGACGCAGGAGAGTCACCCATAAAAGCAAGCAAACACGGAGATGGCAGCCGAGGGGGGGAAAGGAAGCATACAAATACAGAGAGAGACAGAGACAGAGAGAGACAGAGACAGAGACGCAGAGAGAGACCCAGAGAGGAAAGGAGCAGAGAAGGACAGAAAACACAGAAACCCAAGGACGACGGATATGGGTGGTGGGAAGAGGTCAGAGGAAAGAGAGAGTTCAAATAAATAAATAAAGGCGACTCCTGGAAGCCATTTCCAAGAGGTGATCAGGGAGATGAGGAAGGAAGGTGAATCAAACCCAGGGCCTGTGTGGTCCACTCAGTGCCCTCAGCCCACCTCTCCCCACAATGGGCCCAGATAAGGCAGTATCCAACTTCCTGCTCTCATCCCCCAGGCTCCCTTGCCCATTCAGGACTGAAACCAAAGCCAGGTCTCACAGGGTCCCTCTCAAGAAGCAATGCATGGAGCTGGGCCCAAAGCAGGGACAGAAGGAAGGCAGATGGGGCAGGGGCAGGTGTCCCACTTCCATGGCTACTCACTTGACAGAGGCAGCGCTGGGCCAACGCCGCCCCAGCTTGGCCAGCTGCTTCCGGGGGGAATTGATCCACAGGCCCACAGGGAGATGAAGCTTTCCAAAGCGGGGGCTTCCGCCCTCCTTCCTTTCACCAGATAGCATGGCCCTAAGGGAAGGTGGGTAAGACACAAATCCCAAACAGGCTGAATGGTAGGCATGGGGTGTTGGGAACCTAGGAGAGGAATGGGCCCCTGGATCCCAGGCCCAGGAGGACAGATGGCCGCAGAGGAACTCCTAGGTCCCTGGCTCTCACCTTTTGCAGGTCCGGCAGCACCCGGAGGGCCTGGGTCTGTCGGCCTGCTGTTTGGTCCCGATGCCTCTGCTTTTGAAAAGGCTTTGCCTATGTCCCAGCTCCCGGCACTGGGTGGGGGACAGGAAAAGGCAAAAGGAAACCCGGCAGGAAGAGCTGGGAGGGGGCGTCCTGTGAGGAGACCAGGCCTGGGGGAGGAGATCTGAGAGTAGGCCCTGCCTTATTTCTTGATTCTGGAATTATATTACAGTCCGTAGTTCCCCTCCACCAGAACTCATGGGTCCCAGGATCCACACCCTCCTCCCTGAGGCAGGAGCCAATCTCTAGTTCTCGCCTCTCAGGGAACCCAAAGTATGCATCAGTCCAGAGGAGTGAGTCAGATACTTAGACAATAAGACACGTATTTAATTCTTCCCCAAGTCTGAAGCCCTTTTCTTTGGGTGCTTAGAAGCTCTATTGGTTGTCAACGCTGAGCATTTGATTTAGCTTTCACCGTTCTTCAGTAAAGTCGCCTGAATGAGGTTACAGAATACCAATAATGGAGCAGAGTTAGGTAGGTGGCAGTCTCAGCCCCCACACAAATCTGTCCTTATTCTGGCAATGTCAAAGCCTCACCTTCCTGGGTATGCCTTACCCCCAATGGAAGCCCCACCCGCAAAGGAAAACTTGCAGGGGCTCCCTAACCAGCTCCTGTACTGGGCAGTAGGAAACCTAGTCCCTCACCCAAGCCCACTTGTCCTCTGTGGGTAATTTACCTGACACCCAGGGCTGCTATCAGGGCTATAGAGGAGCAGATCAGTAGCCCAAAGAGAGGGCCCTGCAGCATACTCTTGGCATGTGATGGCTCGGAGGTCTCGGATGATGACTCCAAACCTGCTGAATTTGGGGGTACTGAGGTCTCCTCAAGTGGGGCCATGTCCCTCAGGAGTGGGGCCGTCTCACCCTCAAGCAGGGCTGTCTTACCTTGGGCTGTCTCACCCGGGACAGGGGCTATCAGATCCTGGAGTGAGGCTGTCACATTCTGGCCATGTGGTGCTGTCACATGTTCACCTGGGGCCGCCTCACCTTCTCCTGGGGCCGCCTCACCTTCTCCTGGGGCCGCCTCACCTTCTCCTGGGGCCGCCTCACCTTCTCCTGGGGCCGTCTCACCTTCTCCTGGGGCCGCCTCACCTTCTCCTGGGGCTGCTTCCCCCTGCAATGGTGTCATCTCACCCTGGACTGGTGAGCCCGTCTCACCGGGCAGTGGGGCCATCTCATCCAGGCCAGATGGGGCCACCTCGCCCTGGACAGTCTCACCCTGGACCGGAGAGGATGCCTCACTTTGGACTGTTGTGCCCATCTCACCTTGGAGTGGGGCCGTCTCACCCTGGACTGTTGGGCCCGACTCACCTTGGGATGAGGCCATCTCGCCCTGGACTGTTGGGCCTGTCATAGACTGAACTGTTGTGCCTGGCTCACCTTGGAATGAGGCTGTCTCACCCTGGACTGTTGGGCCCATAGTAGATTGGACTGTTGTGCCCGTCCCACCCTGGACTGATGAGCTCGTCTCAGCCTGCAGTGGGGCCGTCTCAGCCTGCAGTGGGGCCGTCTCAGCCTGGAGTGGGGCCGTCTCAGCCTGCAGTGGGGCCGTCTCAGCCTGCAGTGGGGCCGTCTCAGCCTGCAGTGGGGCTGTCTCAGCCTGCAGTGGGGCCGTCTCAGCCTGCAGTGGGGCCGTCTCAGCCTGGAGTGGGGCCGTCTCAGCTTGGAGTGGGGCCGTCTCAGACTGGAATTCTGAGGCTGTCTCACCCCCAGTCTCTAAGTCTGTTGTTGATGACTCCTCTGTAGAATTTTGGGGCAAAACTGACAGAGGAGGGCAATGAGCTGTCCTGGCAGGAAGTAAAAGCAAGCCCTCCCCAACACCCAAACTGTCTAGAGAAACGCCCTAGGGAACCTAGCCCCAGCTGACAGAATCCATAACCCAGGCAATAAGCCACACCTCCATGGCATGAAACCTCACCCCAACCTGAAGGGAAGCCTCCGCAGCTGCCCCGCAACACCCTGGGCCCTGAATGCTCCACTTCTCTAACACCCAGGACTGACCTGTGACGAGATAATGAATGATCGTGGCTGGGCCAGAGCTCACCGAACCCAGTTCACAGCGGTAGGAACCAGAATTATCTGGATTCACTGAAAGAATGGTCAGCATGGGGTTCTTTCCCTTATACAGCAACTTCTCAGAACCATCCTCTGAAATCTACAAGCAAGATCAAGGGCATCACAGGGTCCTGGGGAATRTCAGGAATTGGGGGAATAGAGGGCTGAGGAGAACTTGGGACCTCAGTGCAGGGAGACAGGAGTGCAGAGCATCATTGAGCAGGGATTGGGGTGCTTGGGGGTCAGCAGTGACCTCACCTAATAGGCCATGAGGATTGGGTGCAGGCCAGGGCATCCAGGGGCCAAGGGCTCATACCCACCTGAGGGACTTGGGGTTTAAGGGTTAAAGGAGTTGGAAGGGCCTCACCCTGTAAAACTGGTAGTCTGTGAGGCCTACAGAAAGAGGATGCCATTCGAATAGACAGTTCAAGGTCAGGTTTTCCTTTTCATGGAYCTTCACCAGGCGCTCTAATGATGGGGCATGACTGTGAGATGCTTCCTCTGGGGTCACTGCCCTCCCCAAACAGTCTCATCTTGGTTGGAACCAGGCTCTTCCCTGTCTGCAGTCTGCATTCTGAGCTCTCTGGACTGTCTCTCCTCTGGCCCCATCCCTCTCCCACCAACCCCTCCAGTCAGGTCCCATACTCACGCCCACAGTCCAGGGACTTCCAGCAAATATAAACCCCCAAGTTACAATCTGGACACCATAATAGACGCTGCATCATGACGCCTGGAGGGGCAAGGTCAAGGCTGTATTCACCCACTAAGGTAGGTCTGAAAGAGAGGGCAAGGCAAAGGACTGAAGGGCTGGGGGGCTATTGGGCCARATCCCTAGGAGGTCATCCCTCCAAGGTTAGTAAAGGGTCCAAACGGAATACACCTGCTAATCCAAGTCAGAGAATGGTGGCCGGAGACCCAGGAACCTCTCAGATGCTGCGAATGTGCATCCAAAAGGGGGAGGGAGAGTAGTGGGTATCATGGGCCATGGATGAGGGTAGAAGAATAGCTTCTGCTGTCTGCACTCACCACATTTGTTGGGACAATAATCTGCCTCAGAAAGAAAAGATAGGGAGAAAAGAATCAGACTTTTACATGAAGAAGGGTGGGAGGGGCTGGGGAAGAGCTGAGGTCCGGGTTCTTGTGTTCCCAGGGGAAGGGCCTGAGAAGTCCCTCCCCCCACCCCCACCAGGGGTCAACAGGAGGAGGGGACTGAGGAAGCCTGGAGATGCAGGGGGCTGGAGAGAGGGGCTCTAGTGGTAGAAGGGAAATGGAGTAGGCCAGGCCAGGACTCCCATCTTCCCTCACCTTTCTTCTGGAACTGAGCAGCATACTGGGCAAATTTGCCCTTTTCCTTCTCCAACATCTGGTATAGCTCCCTCACAAATTGGTCCCCTGGGAGGAAGCAGGGTGGTGCTGAGTGCTCTCCTTGCCCCAGGCAGCAGGTGCAGGATCAGACACAGTCTACCTAGGCAGGCATTTCACTACTGGGTTGTTGCTGGGGTGGGACAGGGTCTTCTGGATTCAAGGGATCCTCCTTCCTCAGAGCACCRTGGACTATGGGGCTCGAGCTACCTGGAGGGCTGGCCTTCCCCTTTCTGCCTTCTCAGGAAGGGGCACAGAAATCAAGTACTTCACATAGTGCCAGTCACTGGGCTAAGCRATGCACAGGTATCAATCCATCTAATCCTCCCAGGAGCTGAGGGAGGAGGGCACTGTGATGCTGTCCAGTGTAGAGCTGAAGAAACTGCTCAGTTTCTTGCTCAGGGCCACATGGGTAGGAAGTGACAGAACCAGAATTTGAACCTAGGAAATCCTGCATCACACCAGTAGAGAGGCATCTCTGATAGTAATAGATTCAGGACCCCCCCTCCCAGCTCTTCGGTGCATTAACCTTTTACATTACTGTCTGTGATGYGTTTCAGCTCCTTCAGCAAACTCCGAGATGCCTTTTCCAGTGTGCTGTTATCTGTGAGTGGATATAGAACCCCATGTTCCACCTTTGCTGTCTTACATTGCCTTTGTACAAAGCAGAATAGCCATGAGTCCGCCAAGCAAGCCTAGAACTAGTTAAGGAACCAACTGCACCCTTACTTTCAAAGAGTTGTTGTTTTATTACATAAAATTGCTAGATAAGGGGCAGAAAAACAATATTTGCTAGCTGTCAGGAGGTCTGGAATCTGCATCCCAGCTTTTTCATTCCCAAGTTCAGGACTCAGCCCCTTCACTCCCCACCCCCTGTCACCTGCAATCCTGGACCCTGTCCATATAATCCCTAGTACTTCAACTCTGTCTTGCCCTCACCTATGGCCCCCAAAAAGGAACCATCCTTCATCGGAAGATCCTTGAATTCCACTATGATCTGCTCTGCTCTTTCCATCACTGTTTTGTGACTCTTGATATCCAGGTGTTCAGGTAGGTAATTCTCTTTCAAGGACTTTAGTGCTGTCAAGACTGCCTGGTCACATATTACACAACAGTCCGCAGGAAGCAGGCAGCTGGCCAGTGCAGCCAATGGGAGGGCAAAACACAGCCCCATTGAGCCAGAGCACTCAGTAGAGGAAACACCAGGAGGGTCCTCTCACCCAGGTCAGGAGCAGGTGGTGCTAAATGGAGAGAAATCAAAGCCTGTCTTAGAGATGCCCCCCAGGACCTCACATCCTCAGTCTCCCCTATGGGAAAGAAGGATATTCAGGAAATCTCCAAACCAAGAAGACATGTCCTTCATCAAATGACTCAGAGTGTGAAATTAATCCCCAATCCACAAAGCCCCAAATTGGGGGTCTTCATTGCATCCTGAGACATCAGAACACTCTCAACTGTTCCCCACATCAGGACCCAAGATCCCCAACCCGTGCAGACTCTCCAAGCTCCCAATCCATGGGATCCACAGCTCCTGCTCCCGCCCGAATTAACGTGATAATCAACTCCAAACCTTGACTGTATCAACCCTCACATACACAAAGCCCCAAACCCTGTTGCACCTCAGGCTGAAAAGTCCTTGTCCAGCTCAAATGAACTCTCCCGCAGGTTCTCAAAACTCCCTCAAGACCAAAGTCCACTCCAGATCCCTTACCCCGGGGACCCCACGAATGTATGCAAGACTCCCAGCCACCCTCCTGTCCCTCCTGTCCACCCTTGCCCAAGGCTACGACCTCTTATTTTCAGGGTGCACCTTCTCAGGAAACGGAGCCCCAAAGCGCCCTAAACGCGAGGCACCCTAACTCACTAGCCCCTCTCCGACCTTGATCCTTGGCTTGTGCCCTCAAACCCAGGATTMGCTCAGGATCCCATTCAGACTGTGAGGAACCCCGTGCCGCGTCCTTCTGCCTTAATATTTCCCACGACTGTAACTCAGGTTTTGTGAGGGACAGTTTGGCTGCGTGAAGTCGGCAGCTTTTCGGAGTTGGTATGTGTCACGGGAGGTCCCGTTTCCACCAGGAATTCCTGGCAAGTCCCCTTTGGAGATCGCAACTCCAAAAAAGTACTTCCTAGGGCTCTCTTTGGCCCCGCCCAGAATCTCAACTCTTGCTTTTGATTGGGCCGCAACAAAGGAGACCCGCCTACCTCTCCATGACGTCACAGGGGCGTGACCTTTACCTAGACCTTTATTCCAGTGTCCACCCTAGGGAAGTGCATCCGCAGGCTGTGGCTTTCAGAGCCCAGGATCAGGCTTCTGGCCTTCAGTGTCCTCCTTTCCTTGGTTCTGGGGACCGGGATTCCGGCTTGGTGCCGCTGACAGCCTCAGATGTGGGGAACCGGCCATTTCTAGCCTAGGACTAGCACTGCCCGAAAGCCCTGGGGTCTTTTTCTCTTCTGTGACTGGCGCCCCCAGGTTTATGGGAATTGAAGTCATGATGATACTCTTTGCTCACTCTAATTCCATCTTCTCCGGGAAATGAAAACCCAGATCTCAATGGCGTGGAAGATCTGAGGCCCACTAATGAGGGTGCTAGAGTAAAATACGGAAGCTCCTGCCCTTGGGTTCCCCAAAGGCTCTGTCACATTTCTGCATGATTCAGAGCACCAGAAACACAGGAACAACTCACACAATTTCAGTAGCGAACAGATGCTTGTTTTGAGTGAAAATAGAGCAGTGTCGCGTTCCTCATGATTAAAATACTCAGGGTCACTCCAGGTGAAGTGGGCTCCAGGAAATAACCACACAAGAGACAGAGATACCTTTTTCTTTGGGGTCCTTTGATGGCTCCTCTGACCTTAAGGGTCCACAGAAAGAGAGCAGGTGCGTACTGAACCCTTTTATTCAGGAGAAGCCATTCAAATGAGGCAAGGGGTCAAATTTAGGGGGTTGAGTCTAGTTTCCTGATGTCTGCTGTCAGCAGGTCSACTGACATCTAGAAGGCCACACCCAAAGGCAGAGCAAGAGAAGGGAACACACAAAGGGCATTTCCATGGAACATTCTATCCCAAACAGGGCAAAGGGATAGTATTACAAAGGTATAGGTATGACATGCCTTCTACTTCCTGGGCTGGGACAACGCCCAAGTCACCACAAAATGTAGTGATTGGTCAGAGCCTCTTGCTTCAGGATGGAAGGTGTGGGTCATTCAGAGTGGCTCCTCGCAGAGGAGGTTACCCCTCCCCCACACACATGCACTATAATTGTAACATGTAAGCATCTCCGCGGACCCCCCCCCCACATACACACCGTAATCAAGCTTCCCTTATCAGAAAGGTTTTCACAAAGAGCATCAACAGGAATTCATAGGAGTTATGTAGTGAGATCGACATAGTTTGAGGCTTCCTCCTCTTATAATAATGGCAGTTTTGCAGACAAAATTTGTGAAACCTCTGTCAAGCCTAAGAATATGGGACAAAGAGTAACTGCTATATAAGAGTAACGTAACCACTCCACTGAGGACAAATCTAAAAGAATTTCCAGACTCGTGATACAAAGATTTTTAGGCATTAGCCCCTCTGAACAGTTGCAGGCTAAACAAACCTCCTTCCCGAAAATTCCTCCGGTGTCTAGCCTCATCTGTCCTACATCATGAGTAGGCAGCATGCCTCAGAATATCCTGAGTATTGAAACTCTCTGAGCTTCCATCTTTCCTCCAGTGTTTTAAACACACACACACACACACACACACACACACACACACTGCCAAGAAGCCGCAGAGACAAGGGTTGGGGAATATAGACATTTAATTCATACCTTCAACTCTATCATTTGTGGCAACTACACTGGTAATGGTACCTTGAAAATCCCTGAGAAGGGGGCTGAGGCTGTGGCTCAGCGGTAGGGAACGTGTCTGGAATGTGTGAGGCACTGGGTTCGATCCTCAGTACCACATATAAATAAATAAATAAAGGTCCATTGACAACTAACAAAATATTAAAAAGAAAAAAGAAAATCCCTGAGAAGACTAGAGCCTGGACTTTTTGGATGGGGATGTGATTAGATATGGCTGTATCTGAAGAACTCTTTTTGCCATCCAAAAAGCAGCTCCTGAAATCTGATTTGAAAGTCTCGTACCCTCTGGCCAGACCCTGTGCTCCTGGGTTAGGTTGAACATGAATTCAGGGGTCTCTGTATCTTCAGATCCTTTCATCCCAGACCTACTTGAAGCCAGATTTAGTGCTTCTGTGAGTTCAGGGACACATCATGGTTCACGAGAAGCACAAAATCTTTGGCTTTCTGCAGACGTGATGGATTCCAGAAATCAGGCCTCAGACACTCAGAATGCAGCTAGGAAAGAGGATACTTCCTTTATCTTAATCCCAGAGACAGTAGATGCAGATCTTGTGTTTGGAAGATTAGAAGTCTCCCTGGATTGCTGCAAGGTTCTGCCACAAAAGTTGCTGCTGCATTCTCCAATAGCTATTCCTCTTCTGTCTCCCATGTTTTTGTCTCTGCTACAGGGGAAAAAAAAAATCCTTTGTGACTTTCATTGAGGTCCAAGGTGGTGCACAGATTTGGCTCATAACTACTCATAACTGCCCCAGCATTTCCAGAGCCTGTGAGCAGAGGAAGAGGCTGGTTCCCCCCTAGCACGAGCCAACCCTAGGGTTCATCTGAGCTCAATCCCCAGTACATACTCCAAACAGAAGCTTGCTCACTCAAGGCAGTCTCCACACCGTGATCTTTCTGATTGTTGAGCTATGACAGTCCCTTCATTATATTCTTTGCTAGAATTAAATAGAATTCTGAAGTGTTGTCCCCTAGTCCCTGCAGGGTTCTTCTGGCCCTCCCTTAGAACAAACCCCAATGGGAATTAGTCCAGGAACCCTGAAGGAGAGCTAATGAGGGCCTGCTCTAGATCAACCAGGAGGTCCTTCAGTCTTCTGAACACCAGGGCAGAAGTAACACCTCTGCTAGAAAAGACCAGCTGAGTGGACTCTAGAAGGAAGGGTTCCCTGTTCTCAGGGGCAGCCACACAGAAATACTATGGAAATGATGATCAGGTGGGCACTGTGGCTTCTGGAGCCACCACGAGCTTCACTGGGCACTGCCAGCCATCAGAAAAGATGTTCTGCTGGTTGTAGGTGTTCAGGCAGCTCCAGGAAGCCCCTCCCCTGCTTCTTTCCACCTCTGGCCAACTAGAATCTCTCTGGCCATGGGCACCACCTGCTCTGGGACCACCCCTGACTTCTCCAGAAGCTGCCAGGCCTCTGGAGACATGTCTGTCTGACTCTAGCCTGATGAGACCAGTCCCAAAAGTCTCCCTGGCTTCCAAGGCCCAGCCCCTGTCTGCACTGGAGACAAGTCTGCATTAATGCCCACCCACTCAGGCAGGAAGGCAGCCTCAGGCTTGAAGACCTTCAGGAACTCTGAGTCTGGCAGGGTGAAGTTGGCAAGGTAGACAGTGTCTCCACCAGCCAGGTAGGCAGCCCAGAAGCCAAAGGTGCCAACGGTCACGATAGTGTGGTTGCACTGAGTGAGCAGGGCCAAGTCCTTCCCTGGTGAGCCACATCACCCGGAGAGATGTCACTGTTTTCCCAGCACCACTTCATGCCATTGCTGCTGACCACAGGGATGGGGCCTTCATGCTGTGCCGCAAACCAGTCCATAGCCTGCTGGAGGTAGGTACAGTCACCCACCAAACCCTTTCAGCACTGGGCCAGCACCTGCAGATGTCTTCATGGCAGATGACACCCATTAATGTGTGAAGCTGGGTTCCAGTGAGGCGTAGGCAGAGCTGGCCCGGAAAGTGCTATCCCCATATTGGAGGTGGTCATGAGGGGGAATTCCCTGCATATCCATTCCTGCAGATGCTGGAAGCAAATCCAACAGCTAGGGAAACCAGAAATGTGTGGAGTAGCTTCTCCCATAACGCTCAGCCCAAGAAATTGGTGCTTCCAAGAACATTCCTCTCCATACTAAAATATCAATATATTTCCATCTACATATTTATATATTCATAAGCAAATTAGTAAAGAATATTGCAATGTCTTTGCTGTGACACAGGACACATCGAGTCTTTATATACTTGTGGCCATTTATATAAGAGAACAAATATGTAAAGAGGTCAATATTAGTTTAGGAACTTCCTGGCATCAGAAGTAATAAAAGCAGAAGAATACCAATCACAGATTAGAAAAGGCAGCATTCTTCAATGTCTTCTCCAAGTTCATTCTTTGTAGATTGAACTGAAATGTTCTGGAATGCGAACTCATCAGATGTAGGATATAGGATTAACTCCTGAGTGCAGGTGGAGTATAATGGTTTTCCTCACCTCACAAGGTCAGATCATGGGGATCTATTCCCCTTGTGGGGTAAAGTATTGCCATCTATCCTAGCTGGCAACCTAGTGCTGGGTTCACAAAATCTGACTATTCCAATAACTTAAGAAAACAGCAAAGAAAGCACAAAAACACACAGAAGTATCTTTTAAATAATCCAGGGACAACTCTGCAAAGTTAAGGGTCCATTGGAAAGAGAGCAAGCTACTGGAATTCTTTATTCTTATATAGGGGACACACAAGGGGAGGTTCCATGGAATATTCTATCCCAAAAAGGGCAAAGGGATAGGATTACAAAGGAACAGGTGAGTGTAGCTCAACCTCACCAGGTGACGCCTACTCCTGGAGCCAGCCTCATATCCGAGTGGAGGTAAAGCCCAAGTTACTGCGGGAGGGCAATAATTGACCAGGGCCTTGGAGCATCAAGACAGCTCCCGACAGTGAAGGAATCAGGGACCTACTCCCCTCACAGGATGGAAGATACAGGTTCTAATTCCCTTGTTGGGTGCAGGATACACTGCCTACAAAATGAAGTGTTTCTCCCTATCCCTGAGAGCTGGATCCAGGACGGCTTCCATGGGGAGAACCACCTTCCCTAATCCACACTAAAGGAGAGCTGTTGTGAAATTCCAAGTCCTTCATCCATATGTACCAATGCCATCTGCTCATCTGACATTATAACAGATGACTCAGCTGTAACTAGGTAATAGATCACCTGAAGCTAGCTAATGCTGAAAGATATCTTTAGGATAAATACAACGAATCTACTACTATTAAATTAAAGCTATGATATTTTGATAGGCTCTTTACTGAATACAAAGTGTTGATTATTACACTTTCATTAATACAAAGCCCAAATGTGAAACATACTTGATTAAATACAGAGGCTTCTGCTTATCTGTGTTTTCTATTTTTTTCTAAATATTTTTCAAGTTGTTGATGGACTTTTAGTTTATTTATTCATTTATATGTGGTGCTGAGAATTGAACTCAGTGCCTCACACATGCCAGTCAAGTGCTCTACCACTGAGCCACAACCCCAACTCTTATCTGTGTTTTCTAAATACTAAAGTGGGAACAGCTTTAAGCTATTCATGTATATATTCATCCACATTAATATTTATACTAAAAAATAATGCAGACAGTCCCTGCAGTAATGGATCGTCCCCTTACCCATATCCTCAATGAATGAACCTCTCAAAGGAAATTACCATTTCCATATCTCGGACCCTTGTTCATTATTCTAATAATAATGGAATATTCCAATAATAATGGAATAATATTAAGTGATGAAGCCTTAAATATATTTCCCTTCAACTAATATTCTCTTATCCCAAAGGAATGTGATCTTTTTAAAAAAACCCTTAAACAAAGGTTCTGCCATTATCTAGGCCCCATGAAGGTGCATTTCCTAGGTGACTCCTTTCTACAACATATTCTCTTGGTTATTCCCATCCCTTGACAAGGAAACTTACTCCAAAAATGGACTCCTCTATGGCCCCCACTCATGTATAGTAGAACATACTATACCAGAACATCAACAGAGACCTTCTCAAAAATATCCTTTCATCTCCATTACGTAAAAGTGCAAGCAGTGTGCCCCTTTCTAAAATAAACCTAAGACCGTATGCATGTATGAATATGTCACAACAAATCCCACCCATATGTACAACTATAATGGACCAATGAAAACTGAAAATAAAGTAAAATAAAAAAATACATCAATAAGGGGGTTCAGGTTATGGCTCAGTGGTAGACTAGCATGTGTGATCCTCAGCACCAAATAAAAATAAACAAATAGGGCTGGGGATGTGGCTCAAGTGGTAGTGGGCTCCCCTGGCATGCACCGGTCGCTGGGTTCAATCCTCAGCATTACATAAAAATAAAATAAAGATGTTGTGTCCACTGAAAACTAAAAAATAAATATTAAAAAATTCTCACTCTCTCTTTAAAAAATAAACAAATAAATTTATTGTGTCCACGTAGAACTAAAAAAAAATTAAAAATACATATAAAATAAGCCTAACACTCAAGTTCTCCCATTGTCCCCCAAATGTGTAAATGCACACAAGTGCCAGCACCCCCTGCCTGCATCCAGAGTGGTCAAATGTCCCAATGAAAACCATCACCTTTTTCAAATGGGTTCATCCACTCCCCCACCAAAGAAATACAGGCTTTTCTAGGTCAAGACCCCAGACACCAGTCAAGGACGTCCCTGCCCCAGGACATACACTCTCCTGTCACCCTCCCTCAAGAAATGATGTCTGCACGGGGTCTCCTTCCTGCAGTGGACTCTCCCTTGAAAAGACACAGCTTGCCCTCCACTTTCAGTGACAGGACCATGCCCTGTTTGTGCCTCCAGTGTAATCTTGTCAGCCATCTCCCCTCTGCCTCCTCCACACTCACACTCTGCAACCTGGCTGCGCTCTTGCCTACCAGAGGACCTGAGGCTACCTCAACTAGAGGAATTCTGAGAACTACAGGTTTATCACTCTCCAATGACAGAGGGGACATAGGGCTCTGGGTGGTTGGGGAGGCGATGCTCACCTGGGCATCCTGATAGCCCTGGAGCAGTAGAAAGTAGGGGCGATTGCTGGGGGCCTGGATGAGGCACTGAGTCAACTGATCAAAATCCCCGGGGTCTGCAGGTACTATTTGGGTATCAGCTGCCCCTGGGGCCATGCTAAGTGCCTGCTGCCTGCGTTCCTGCTGCCGCCTTCTCCGACCCTGCAGGCTCAGCTCTGACACACTGCGCCGTAAGGACAAGTTCTCCGAGCGTTCCTTGCCCCCAGATCCAGGGGGGACCCCAGATCCAGACCCAGGACCAGGACTGGCCAGTGCGGCCCCACCAGAAGCTGCACGGGAGCGATTCTTCTGTGGCCGCCAGGAGGGGGCGCCGGTGCCTGCGGGGAGAGAGTACAGTGCCTGAGAGTAGAAAGACCAGGGAGAGAGACCTGAGATCATCTATCACTCCCTGAGTGCCTTGTCCCTTGGTGCACATGGCAGCACGCATGCCAGGTTTCCTGTGGCATGTGCTATTTCACCTTTGAGGTCACCTCCTGCTTCAGGATCCATATAACCATCCTTGGCCTCTCTGAACACCTCTTCCTCTATCCCCTTTCTTTCCCCTGCGCCTACACTTGGCAGTTAAGGGAGCCTAAGGCTAAGGATCCAAGGCCCGCTGCCAGTCTTCACCCCACCTAGAGGCACTGGTCCCTCTCCCTCCTAGGCTCTGCCCACATAGGCCCTGACCCTCAAGAACCGCCTCAGCCTAGTTCCCAGAGCTGCCTCCTGCCACACAGACCCACAAGCAGGTGCCACCACACCTCACCAGGCCCAACACCTCAGGCTCAGGCCTACTCAGTTCCTCAGACTCCGCCCTGGCCCCGCAGGCCCACCCACAGCTCTGCACAGCCTCCAGCACATTGTCCTGGCCTGTTCCTCCTCTCCTAGTTCTCTCCAACTTGGATTTCCCCCTAACACTGGCCGAACCCCTGGGAATTC